CGGAGGAGACGCGGCGCTGCTGCGGCGCAGCCCGGGGGCATCTGGCGCGGGGCGGTGGTTTCTGTCGTTCAGAGTTACAGGAAAAAGCGTTGCTGGTGCTGAGCCTGATAACTTTCTATTTAGTTACATCCCTTCGCAGTCGCGAGGAGACGGGGGTCCCTGTTAAGCTTCTGCGGCGGCGGTAAGTGTGAAGTTGTTGGGGTTTTTTCAGAGCGGGGCTCCTTCTGCTCATTTATGTTAATAGGGAGTTGATAAAGTGTGAAAGTCTTCCCCGGAGCGTTACGTGCTTGCATTCATATCTCCAGATGTTCATCCCAGACTTGAGGCAGTGAATGCTTCGGTCTCTCCAGGCCAAGCAACTCCTTTCGGTTTCTTTCTTCCAAGTCCATGAGACGGTAAGAATTGAAGCTTCCTATTTAGCCGATTGCGTTTGTCTCTTTCTGGGAAGAATATGATACAGATGCTTAGCAGTGGTTTTAAGTATGTAGTGGGTAAGAGCTAGTTCTCAAAATGTTTGCAATATATGCAGTCATCAAAGGCAGTAAAAGCTCTTTCCTAACTGCAGGCTGCTTAAGTTGTGTGTGTTCACTCCAGTTTTCTCAAAGCTCTGTATCACATTTAAATATACTGGCCCCGTGCTGCTTCTATGCTTGCAGAGTTTCTGCCTCCTGGCAAAAAATTTTGTACTATGTTTGTGTACGCATCTGTCATGAGTATCACCTACATGCATTCATTCTTAAATTGGGGAAGCTGCACTGAACTTCCCGTCTGTAATGGACTGTGTGACGGTTGTCTTTTGAAGATGATTGTCAGAAATAGTTGAAATCTAATTTCTAGCTTCTTATATGTGAATTAAGATACTGGGCCAAGAGAGTGTTCTCATGCTTACAGAAAGCGTCATGTATTGGGCAAAAGAATGGAATGGTCAGTTCAGATTTTTCTGTCAGAGGTTAATCAGTAACAAAACAAGTCTCAAGAAATAAAAATGGGGGAAAAAAGCTTTATATCATAGACGTTGCAGTATTGAATGTTAAAGATCTTGATATTTCTGTAATAACCATAAAAATCTGGTAATTTTTTGCATTATTTGGTACTTGTCAGGATCAATTTCAATTAAAAATGCTGTACTAAGACATCTCAAGACGTAGGTCCCATGGAACCTGGTTTCACAGTGCCATGCCATGTTCCACCTAGCAGTTTCGACTAAGAGATAAAAATACTGTTAGTGAACTTTACAGGATAGGTAGTAAACAAAAGAAAAACAGGATATATAACTTCTGTGGGAGTATCTGAACTAGCAGGGTGATAAGTCAATTGTCTTATGCAGGTCAACACCAAGATAAATATATCTGGGATCAAAGAATAGAGAGGATGCTCAACAGGACAAAAAACTCTTGGAAATTAGTAATGTAAAGACTGTTTCAGATGGCTGTGTTCTCAGGGGAGAAAAAAAAGGGCTGACATTTCTTCTTGGATTTACAGTAATAGGAATAGCAGGTAAGTGTCTGGTAGTGATCTTATTTATGTTCCTATAACAAGGTACATGAGATGTTTAGCACCCAGCAGTCAAAGGTGGTAAGGAATAGGTGAAGGTTCGCTGTGCAGAGGCTTCCATGTCATGTTATACATTCACTGTATTAATGCAATGGAGACAGTAGCTGCCTTCTGTATATCTAGCTCTGACTTTTGAGATACTGTGTCCACACTACAGTGAAATCCTGGAGAACCTTCAAAAAAGAATACAAGAAAATAACTAAATGAAATGGAAAACAAACCCTTTAAGGAGGACTTAATGTATATTCTTTAATTTGTATAAGATTGAGATAAATATGGAGAAGGCTATTTGATAGTGGCAGTGTAAGGAAGCTTCTTAATCACTGTGAAAAAGATATGAGATCAAATGGTGTGTAGGTATTGTCTATATTCTAAATTAACTAATAAAAAACAAGAATAAGTGGTACAACAATATAAGCACAAAACTCACTGTTAGCTGAGTTTGTAATGAGTCTGAGTTTACAATGTTTTCCACAATATATGATGAAATCTCTCAGAATGGTGCATTATCTGTACAGGTAGGCTACAGAGTCACAGTCATATTTTCTGAGTGATAAAGTATGAAAGTAGGGTTTTGCACTCATTTTATTCTCTTTCCTTCTTGGTTCTGTGGGAGCACAGGGTTACCTGCATTGTTCTTTGAATTTGCATTTGCTGTTAACTCTTGCAGCACTGCAGTGGGACAGGGATTATAATAATTTCCTACATTTTGGGGCTGTAGCTTTTTCTCTGAACAGTGCAGGTAAGTTTTTATTTGCTTTCTTGTGAAACACAGTTTGCTAACATTATTTAAGTGAACATGTATTTTACCCTAGAACATCTGGAATTGGATTTAGTTCAAGAGGCGAGGCTGGACAAGGTGAACTGATGCTCTGAAGTAGTGCAGAATATCTTTCATCTGATTTTCTGACAGGTGTGTATTCTGTACAAACTTCAGGCTAAAGCCACCCAAATATGGCAAATATAAGAGGTTTGGATCTGGCCACCCTCTCTCGATAAGGGTTCCACAATTTTTTAAAGCTCAACGCATGGATCCTCCTTCCTTGACCATCTGTTTTTCTCACGACTTGCTTATCATGGCAGAAGCTTCTTGTTCTCCACCTTTCTTTGAGTGGCTGTGCTCAAGAAAGGGACACAAAAGCAAACATCCTATCTAATAATGTCTTACTAACTGAGAACATCTAACACAAAATCATCTCTCAAAGTAGACTTTTGTAGCTGAAATAGACTTTGTAGTCCCCCAAACACTGAGCCTAAGAAGAAATCTTCAAGACCAGTCCTGTACATGAAGTCTGTTTAAGCCCTAATTTGACTGTTTCCTCTTTCTCTGTGAAAAAAAGAACAAGGAATGACAGTGCTGCTGTGAGCGCTGTAGGTCTCTCTGCTAATATCACCATCATTCAGTTCTAGTGATATTGATGACATGGTCTTTTAGTGAGTGTTATCAAATAGCATATAATCATGTAGTTAAAATGAAAAAAGCAACCAATATGAAAAAATAAAGGAATTAAATCTTCTGTGTTTGTAGCTTTAAGCTTTTTCCCCCAAATAGTATTTTTATGATGTATAATATATTAATTACCAAACAAATATTTGTTTTGCAGCTTTTTTTATCTAGCTGTGCATTTTAAAGCTTAAGATATATTTAGAGGCTTATTTGTTATGCTTGTTCAGAGAATAATTAATTATTTTCTATTTACTAGATATGGATTCTTAATTTTTCTGTATTAGTATCAAGCTACATTTATGGAAAAATTATTTTTAAATTTCAGTGCATGGCATTTTATGTTAAAACATTAATATTCGATGTGCTGTTAAATATTGTTCTATAACAGAAGTATTTATCAAAACATGTTTTGCATCTGTAACTCTAGGGTATAGTAAGCAAAATAACTGCTATCAACAGTTACTAACTTAACTGACATTTCCTGTTCTCTGTCCTTCAGGATTTTAGAACAAAATTATCTTATCCTTTTGTGCCTATTTTTTATATTTACAGACTGAAAGAGGAAAATGGCTTTCCTGCTTTCTCAGTTTCCAGTTGATTTGCAGCTTTTAAATTAACAGGCCATTGAACTTGATGAATACAGTCTTTATTTCTCCCTCCCCTTTTGGCATTTTTAAGAACAAGTTTCTGCGGTCAGAAGTTGGCACTGCATTTCAAGGAGCTCTGCTCCATGCTGCTCCTTCAGATATGCCCATAAGCTTAGTGGCTTCTCTTTTCTCAAAAGCTATTGTTTGAATTTATTTGATTTTAGTAGATTATGATACCAATGTGTTTTAAGGTAGGCTGTCATAATTTCAAATTTAAATAGCTTTATTTTTCAAAAGACAGTACACCTAAGTCCTGTTTAAATAAATTTCTTCTAAAATGTAAAATTTTACATGTTATTCATCCTGATCTGATGTTCAACTGACTATTTTGATCTCAGTTAAGGACTGTGGGTTACGAAACCAGTGTGTCTAGGATATTTCACTACAGTCTCATTTTTGCCATGGATGAGCTTGTCCGTACATGATTCATAGGGATTAGAGAGTTGAGAAAAGCCACTAGCTGTCCTTCACATTTGTTGCTTCCAGTCAATAAACATGTCATTTTCTTCTGATGCTCACTGGTAGTGCCCTTGATGGAAACCTGACCAATCCTAGAAGCTGATGCTTCTACACCCTTTTATCTAGGAAGGAGGCTGGAGTTTGTATCATTTGCCTGACATGTCCTCTTTTCCTCTACAATTTGAATCTTGGACTTCTGCAAACTGATCGTTAAGGCTTTTCTAGTTGCATCTGTGCATAACATCACAGTCGGGTGGCCCAGTGGGGCTGAGTGTAGGCTCGGGCTCCTGGCATTCAGCATTGACTGGTCTCATATAGGGCAAGGTCTCGCTCCCCATATGGTAGCTGGCATGGCAGAGCTGTAGCAATTGCTACTAAAGAATAAATAAAAGACGCCAATGGCTATTGAGCTTCTTTCCTCTTTCATAGAGGAAATTTTCCTCATTTTCCTCTTGTTAGAAGAGTGTCATACTTACTCTAAGGAAAGGTGCATGTTAGGTTTCAGCAAAGATGTTAGAAATTCTTGAAGAGAACTGGGCTTATGCTTTATACAGGCTAAAGGCATACTGCCTTTCTATTTGTAGATGTTTCATGTTCTTTAGTTATGGTGTAACAGTGGGTAACTACATGTAGAAGTATGTGTTAGTGTAGTTGAAAACAATCTTAGAATTGGATCTGAATGGAAAAAACTTTCCTGTCCAAAAATGGAGGAGAAGGATGATTAAGAAATAGTCCTAAATAGAGTATGGGGAAAAGTTACTTTGGGTAAGTTTTTCTTATTACTTCTTTAAATTTTTAAACCATAGCTCTTCCAAACAACTTACATTTAAAAATGAAAATAGAGAATCAGAGGTTTTGGTATTGAGAAAGCTTGGTGTTTCATCAACTAAGTTACACAACGTTTTTATTTATTTAATGAGATCTTCATTGACATTGCCCAGTCCTGCGGGAAATGTGGCATTTGGTGAATCAGTTTTTTAAATAGTTGAAGAAGACAGTTCTGTTCATGCTAATTGTTTAGTCATCAGAATTTAGCTTTTATATGTATCTTTAAGTGAAGCATTTATGACGTGACTTTTACTCAGGAATGTTATTTCGTCACTTTTATATGTGCAATCTCTTAAGTAAAAAGCCAAAGAGCTATTTAGTCAGGTATCAATATAGCGACAACGATGGGAGGATGTAAACAGGGTTGTAACCTGCTGAGTCACCACCCTGGTCTCTGACATGTAGTAACTAGAAGCTGTTTGTCAAATAGCAACTAGCTGCTAATTGGTATTGGAGAAGGTGGAAGAAGATGCTGCACCACATCAGGACTGAACTGAATTAACAGCTCACAACTGGGGAGAAGTGTCATGGAGGTCTCTTTCTGCAGTCCTCTCCTGTTTCACCAACTCAGATGTCTGTCAAATCATGTAGCGAGTTGCTTATGTTTGCTAATGTAATATATTTTTTGCTTAGTTTTCTTCTATTTTAGCAAGTGGAACTGACTTACTGTGTGATGGGCACTAGAAGAGTGGGTACAGGAGGAGGAGCTGTTCACTGAGAGTGTATGGGATCTTTGACTATTTAAGGTTTTTTGGTGAGTGTGTGGAACTAAAAGTTTCAAAGGCTTTTAACTTGGCATCGTGGCCAGATTTGCTGTGCCTCATCTCTTAGCACTGGGCTCTGCTGTGGTGGAATATGTGGTGGTATGTGGTACTTTTGTCACAAGCATAATTTAAAAAATGTTTTTATGATTCTTCCAATGCTTTTGCATTCCAATCCCTTGCTAATAAAGTGTGGGATTGCTGGAGCTAGTCAAAGGAATATGGTTAAAGAAATGGTTTCCTTATTCTTTGAAATAGATGAACTATTTTAGCTGAAATACAGCCTCTTCTGTTTCATGTACCCTCAAAAACCATGAAACAGCATACATAAAATGTCAGCAGAAACTACTGAGTTCTGTGAAGCTGTAAGCAAAGACAGTGGGAGTGTTTGATAAACTTAACAGGTTTATTCATATATATCTCTATATATATATCTATATATCTATATCTATATCTATATATAGATATATCAGATTGTTCTGCAACTCCCTGTAGTGTTTTTGCACCCTTTGAGGTGTTCCATTCTTTAACCAAGGCCATGGTTCTGCTCATACTGTCTTTCCATTTTTCTCACAAACATTCAGCAAAGATCTGTAAAATAATTTTAATTTCCAGGAGAAGGGCAGCTGCTCTCGAGTGTCCATGTCAACTCATGGTTGCTTATTTTGCAACAGATCTTCTATTGAAACAGACTGCTAATTTTATTAAAAACATTTTGTAAATTAATTCTTTCTAGGCAGGAAGGGACTTTGCATGTCCTGCATGGGGAGAACCATGATCTTAGTTTTGTTCTTGGTATTAGCTGGCTTTTTGGAGGGGTTTGGGTTTTTTGAGTTGTCCACAAAATAGGAAAACCTATCAGCACTTTTTGCTTAGAGCAGTGTAATTAAAGTTTGATATTGACAGCTGCTCTGTGGCGAAATTGCTTTTTTCTCTTTTTGCTCAGTTCTTTTATTGTTGCATATATTTGAAATGATGCTGCTGCCTGTATGATCTGGAAGCAGTTGTTTCTTGATGTAATCTTATGGCAAATTTTTACTGATTTTTGTTACTGTGTATTTATGATCAGTGAATCTAAGGAAAATGTCAATCACTAAGGGAAATTCTTTAGTTAGTCATGGCCATAATACATAAAACTTGTATTCTGTGGTGGTTGCAGGTAAGTGGAAAGCCTGTGTTTTAAACTGTTGATTTTATTTAATGAAGTCTTTACAATACATAATATGCAGTGGGCTTTTATTACATGTTGCTAGCAGTTAAGTCTACAGGAAAGAAAGAATAGAGCTTTATTATTATGTTGAGTGCCTTAAGCTCTTTCCTGTAAACAATTGTACATATGCTTATCTTCCCACACAGAAGATTTGGTATTCTCATGAATAAGTGTATCCTCCAAGATTAAAGCCATATTCATAGAGCTGTTGCAAAAACATTTTATTTAATATTTTTTTTTAAAATTGTTTGCTTTTAATAGTTTTTAAAAAAATGCTTATGCCAGTGTAGCATCTGTAACTCATTGTCTTTGGCTGACCATTCTTCCTTTGTCAGATAGTTTTGATTAAGCACATCATTTTGGAGTGCTATTTATTTTGCTTGGTTTTGTTGATGTTGATAATCATCTCTGAAGCACGTTGATTTTCTGCAACTACTAGTCTCCTAGCTGATGAAGTACTGACTTACATTTGTGTTCAATGTGGTGTAGAAATCATTGGTGCGTGTTCCTATGAAGTCAGCAAAGCCTTTTTTAGAGTCATTGTTATGATTTTTCTTTATTTTTGAATGGAATGTAGTTTTCTTGTAGCTGTGACGTTGGGACTGATTCTTTGGTATCTTTCTTAAACTTTAAAAAATATAGTAAAAATAAATACACACTTTTGTTCTTTAAAAATAAATTTTTAGCTTTAAACAGAGTGGAACTTCTAGTATGTCATCAACATTGCTATGGACTATATTAATACTAAAATTTAAAAATTACTATCCAAATATTTTTAAATCTGCATCTGTTTTTAATTCTGCATCTACTGATGCAAAATACTTGGAATGTTGCTTAAGGTTCTTGTTTTTTATTGCTATCAGTAGCGTAATTTGTCTTTACTGCTTTGCGAACAAGAACTTAGACCTAATTAAGTAGTAGTAGATTCTCTTCTTGTAACTGCTTTTTTTCTTGTTTGTACAGATCTTGCTACAGCTTTATTTTAGGCATGTGTTACTGGGTAAACTCCTCCCTCATGTCTCTTTATCCTGTGTGTCCTTTTCATTTTTTTTTCTCCTGTTCTGCACTGTCATAGCCTCAAAGTTTATAAAATGCTTTCTAAGACAGACTGTATATAATGTTTACAGTGAGTTCTGTCAGAAACTGAGCACAAATAATTTTTTTACTCTTTTAGATTACTGTAAAACTTTATTTTGTAGCAAAACCAAGAAGTTTGTGTGGAAGGGACTGTAATGTAGGGCCTATTGATCTTGGTCCCAAAGAGTGACCTGGTGCACATCTGCTTCCTAGCACTGTCAGGGCCTGTGGGAGGAGGAGATGCTTTGTATGGTGTGAAAGCTGTTGGTGTACCTGTTCTAGGGAGATAGCACTTGTCTCCTACCTGGACCCCTCCTGACATACAGGTTTGCATGGAAAGCTGGAATTCCAGCAGCTCGCTCCTCAGATAAATATGAAAACAGGGACCCTAACTAACTGCAGCAATAGTAATACCCACGTTTTGCTTATGAACATAGCAGCTAGAATTTTTGGTCCAGTAAGTAGGAATATTGAGCCCTAGGCCCTCATATGCTGAAGGGGATCTGAAACTATTTTCTACGGGCAGATTTCCTACTTATTAGACAAATGAGTCATCTGGGTTGCAGCATATTCTGTCCTTCCTGTTGAAGTTGGGCTGCTTCACAGACAGAGGTTGTTACAGACACAGACAAGCTGATTGAAGTGTGGGCTGGATGAGCAGACAGTGATGTGGATTGAAAACTGTCAGAACTAATGGGCCCAGAGGGTGGTGATCAGTGGCACAAAGTCTAGTTGGAGGCCAGTGAATAGTGGTGTAGCCCAGGGGACTGGGACTGGGTCCGGTCTTGTTTATCATCTTCATTAATGATCTGGATGATGGGGCAGAGCATACCTAGCTAGTTTGCTGATGGCAAAATTGGAAGAAGTGGCTGATGTGCCAGAGGGTTGTGCTGCCATCCAGAGGGGCCTTGGCATGCTGGAGAAATGGGCTGCCAGGAACCTCATGGAGTTTGGCAAGGCAAAGTGCCAGATCCGGCACCCGGGAAGGACCAACAACATGGGTAGACAGGGGGCTGACCAGGTGGAGAGCTGCTCTGCAGAGGAAGCCCTGGGGAGTCCTGATGGCACCAGGTAGAATGTGAGCCAGCAATGTGCCCTTGTGGCAAAGAAAGCTAGTGGTATCCTAGGCTGCGTTAGACGTGTAACCAACAGCTCAAGGGAGGTGATCTTGCCCCTCTGCTTGGCACTGGTGAGGCCACACTTGGATTATTGTGTCAAGTTCTCTGCCTTTGAGAGTGTCCTCAAGTCTGGTGCCTGGGACACTTAGCTGGGATAACAAAAATATGTGAATTCACCCTCTCGGGTGGACAATGACCTGGGACTGTTGCCCGCTTCCTGAACAATTTTTTTTATTAGGTGGTGATGCACAAGAGATGTGGAACATTCCTTCTCCTGCAACAGACTTACTTTTCAAAATAATTCACTCTGCGAACTAAATCTGCTCAGAAGATGGCTAGGCATCTGGATTTCAAGTGGAAGTAGATATATTTCTTACCAATTCTTTACAGGGTCCTCAGAAGGTAAGGTGCTTAGGTGAATTGGATTGCCCTCAGAAGGATTTCAGGTGTACTTACCTCTCTCTTTATAGAAGATGTATGCACTTACCTTAGGAAAACTGCATCAAGTTTCTCCCATTGTATAGGAAAATAACATTTAGACAAAGCAATATTTAACTTGAATACATGTGAGAAAAGCTGAATAACATTATTAACTCATACACAAATGCTTACAAAGTATTTACTTGAAGAATTTTATTTTTATTTTATGACAGCATTTCCTGCCTGTAGTCACTGAAAAGGAAATGTGCAACTGTTTGATTTGGATGTTCATCCTGCTGTGCAGCTCTGTAGCAGGTATGTTTCTTGATTAGCACCTGTCTTATCCCAAGAAAGTTTTCCAAAATGTGACCTTCTCCAAATGAAATTTTGAAGAGTTCTGAAAATGATAAAAATGTGTTTGAAAAACAGAAGTTAGTAGGTGATTGACTAAATAGTGTACAGTATAGAGAGAAAACCTGATTTGGCACTCATGATGTCCTTTTGACCAATAGCCTGGATTTATTTTCTTTTGTATTTGAAATATTGAGAAAAAAAAAATTTTAAAACTTACTTTGTTAACTTTTTCCCTGCTGCACAGGATATAGACAGGGAATCTGGATGTGGAAGGCGTAGTTCAGTTCTAGTTGGGTTGTAAAGGCTGGTAACTTTGGAGATCTGGTGATGGAACAAAATGTTTATGTAACACGTGAACACATAAAATATAGTAAATGTCTTCTGTGGTTAGAGAGTTTTAAGTCAAATATGACCTATTCAGAGATTCATGCAGTGGCTACTGATGTTCATTCCTAATTTTAAAAGTCACCTCAGAATGTGTGACTACTGATTTTTATTTTTATTTTTTTTTTTTTAAAATGTGGTAGCTCCACAGTCGGTTTAAGCCAGCACAGGTAACTGCTGAAGCTGGAAAAGCAGGTAGTTCTGCACTCCCTCTGCCTCTCATCTCCCTCTCCTTCTGCTGGAGCACATGTTTGTGTGGCTAGTTCTGAAGTGGTGAGGAATCTGATTTGGGCAGAGGATGATGTTATTTTTTGCCAAGCTTTTATTTTTCATCTGTATCAGTTTCCTTTCGGTTTAAGCAGGCGCTTCTGGCACGGAAAGGGGATAACAGCAGTGAATGGGTGGTTGAGGATTAAAAATGCTTCTTGTGACAACACTGCCGCTTTAACCTGATTAAGTCCAATAGTATAGCTGAGAATAGGAAATCACAAGGACAGATTGAAATAATGACTTAGTGACAATAGTTGAAAATTCATGTGCAATTTATCAGATACAACTTAACATACGACAGTAATTTATCATGTAATGGCGTCTGGGATCATGAAAGTAGGGGCCATACGTTTGTAGAAGCTTGAACAGTAAGTGAAACAGTTCAGGTAGTTGCTTACAACTGATATACAGTAAAATTTGTGCGGTAGAGTGTAAAATAGCCATTAGTGTGACTTTGAAACATAAATTACTTTGAAACAAAAATAACACAAAAGGAAACATAGAAAGCAATTTAAAGTTAATACACCGGAAGAGGGAAGAATTAGCAGAGAACAAGGAAGAAAGTTTAATATTTGATTCCCTTTCATTTCTACATTCTAGCAAAAATTTCTATCTGTAAAAGTTGGGATTTTTTTGGATTTTATTTAACAGATTTATTTATGAAATTTAGCTTCAAGAAGTAAGTAGCAGCAAAAAAACCTTCCAGCTAGCTCCTTGCAATACTCTAATGGGTGATTCTTTATGTGTGATAACTTTGTTGCTGAATTTATTAATTGAGCCTACTTCTGTATTTTGCTTTTACATGCATTTTACATACAATTTCTGTACTGTATCTGGGAATATAAATTCTGTGAGGGTTAAAGTACTAATGAGATAGTGAAATATATTGAAGTTTAGTTGCAAATGTTAAGCTTACCAGTTTGATGTATTTTATGATATAATAACTAGTAATGATAACATCTAAACAGTATGCATACCTTTTACATACAGGAATGTTTTTTTAAGACATTTAAAAGACGAGTCCCTCTTCTTCATTTTCAGCTATTAAAAAACACTTGAGTTGAAATTTCTCCATTATTTCTGGGAAGGTGTAGAAACAGCATTCTTATATAATATCTATGGTAATATACTAATAAAGGTGAACTGAGTTTCCAAGCAGCAGTATCTGATTCAAATGACTAATTAGGCATTTTATTTGAACTCCATATGAAAAAAAAAAATTACTGTGTACAAATAATTTTAGTAAAATAACTGACAGTTTTTCCACTGGTATTTAAAAAGGAATTAGGTTATGTGATATCTTTTCATTTTATTTTTAGATGAAAACTCTATCAGAGATGCTGACATTTTTCCTTTATCTCCTGAAATTGAAAGAGGATCTACCCTGAAACTCTTTTGTGTTCTTGGAAAACGCTACACACCTCACAGAAATGCAAGCCATATCATCTGGAAATTGAATCATGAATTAATTGCTCAGGAAAACTACAGCATTGTGAACGAGACTGTATCAAGTGTAACCATCCGTAATTTCACTTACAGCAAAGCTCATGTGAAATGTTTCACTAAGTACTTGGGCAAGGAACAACTTTTGGTTCACACGGAAGTTAAATCTGGCTGTAAGTAGAAATGCAGAAAAATGAATTGTAATATTTTTTAATAACAGTGTAAAAATTTACTTTTAAAACAACTGCTTTTTTCTGTTGTATTCTTAGCTTGTGGCGTTGTAAGACACTTGCATTAAAGTATCTCCTTTTTTTTTTTTTTTCTGAAATAAAACATGAAATCAGAGGCATTCCTTACTGATGCTGGTCTCTAACCACTCTGACCCTGACTTTTGGCCAGTTGAAGTGAGTGGAGGTTTTCTGTTGAGTTCAGAGGGTATTGAGTCTGTCCTTTCTGTTATGTCTTTTGTCTAGCCTAGCCAACTTTAGCTTTCTCCAGGGAGGATTTGCTCTCTAATCCTCCGTTCCAAAGAAACTATAATTACAGTCTCCTATGGAGAAGGTTACATGATAAATATGTATATAAAATTCTCTAATTTATTGAACGGATTAAGTCCAGATTATACTAACCTATGCCTAGGGGTGCCATTCTACTAAAGAATAAGTACAGAAAAATAGATCTGTGGAATAAACCCCAGCCTGTCTATGAAGTTTGGTGTGCCACAAGCTTGTCGATAAAAGAAGGATCTTTTGAGTGTCACAATAGGTGGGACAGAAAGGTACTATTTTGGAGAGAGGGCTCTTCCAACTAGTGTATTTCCCTGGGTGCAGTTCTCTTCCGTTCAACTCCAGTTTCTTTTAGTGAGTGAAGAAGTCTGATTTTAACAAAGAAGTCTTTTGAGGGTGTTACATGTTTATGGATGACTTCAGGCTATAGAGATTGCAGAGGATAGTTTCCTTTGTGCTGATAAGATAAAGAGAGTTGGGAATTAGTGATCTCTTCAAGGTCATATAGATCTGTTTCCTAGGAAGTTGTCATCTGTACTCTGAGGTCTTGCAGGCTCCTCAGATGAGGGGTTCTCATAAGGCATGTGGTTAGACATTCTGGGAAGGAACCAGGAGGAGTTTTATCTTTCAGAGAATGCCTTTTCCTGAACTTCTGTGCTGTTTCTTTGTTTTCCTCTTACACTCTGGACTGGCCTTGAGCTACAGGCATGTTGCAGGGGGTATAGTTAGAGGTTCAGAACAATGTATGTAGTGATATACAAGTTATGTATGTAGCGAGATTCAAGAGAGTTGATGAGCTACTGCAAAAATACCTTCAGGCCCACTTATTTAAGTATTTCTAAGTATTTGGAGAAAATCTCCGTGTCTCCCTACAGGACAAAAATGTGGTTTTAATTGTGGGTTTGTGAGGAGTTTTGAGGGCAGTAAAAAATTATAAAATTAAGTGCTGTGCAATACACTTAGTGACGTTTGCCATAATCTACTTTTTGACCAACAAAATCAGTGGTACTTTAAAGTTACTTATTTTTACTGGACTTTTTTTTTTTTTAACCTTTGTCCTTGTAGTTCCACCAGACACACCAGGAAATATTTCCTGCATTTATTACTTTAATGCTGAACTTACCTGCACCTGGACTTCAGGAAGAGAAACAAATCTTATGACAAACTATACACTTTACCGAAAAGTGTAAGTATAAGATAGAAGATGTATTTGGAACAGGCTTGCTGGGGTGAGACCACCCTTCCCCTCAAATCCTGACTTTAAACAGAAGAAAACCTGGAACCATCATGTTCAGAGTCATGGCATTTCCTCAGTTAGTTCAACTAATTGGGGGTTAGTAATTGTTGAAAAGTGTTACAATCTGATACCTTTTTAGTATGCTGTATAAAGGTAATGGGCATTCTCAACCCAGTATTCAGTAGAGAAATGTTTACATCAGAATTGATACTCACTTGAAGTAACATTACTAATGAGATCAAAAGCTGAGTGAGCCTAGGGTACAGATGGAGAATGGAGGCACTTCACGGGAGTATTATCCAGAAATGTCTGCATAACTAGCTATCCTCATTTTGGATGGTTAAAAAGATTACTTCCTCTTCTACTTAATAGTTTTAACCAAGCGTTTTTTTAAAGCCGCTGTTACTCTGCTTGATGCAAGTAGGGTGTAACATATGGACCTTTGGAGTCATGAGGCTTCAGTGAAAAAAATTCAGAGCTAGTTGTCTTTTTTGAATTGCGCACATCTGAGGATTTGTATTTACAAATATGAATTATGTAGTCTCATGCTTTTTAGTGTTTTTGTGACCCCCTTATAGAAGCATACTTGATTCTTTCAACTTCCATTACATTTTAAATAGCTTAGGAGCCTACTTTTTCATAAGTTAACTGTGAAAATGATGGAATCAGTGTTGTTCCAAGGGAGATCTCTGATAAAATTTTGAAAGTGATAGCACAGATTTTTGTCCCAAATATACTTGCCAGTCTGTTCTGCATAATAGTGCTGCTTGTAGTGCTCTTTATCTGCCTAATCAAGACTCTAGGTAATACGATTTCATGAAGAGTTTTCTAAAATGTCTAAAATTATTGAGAACAGGAAGGAATTCAGACTTCAAAGGAGACATTTTCTTATTTGTAAATTATGCTAGCATATCGTGTCTTTCTTATTTAAGTGTTAGATCAGGAAACAACTTTAGTTTTATCTCCATTTTCAGCTTCCACCTTCATTAGGTGGACCTTTCTTACTTCTAGTGTTTCTGCATTTTATAACTTAGCCGATCTTGTGAAACCATAAACTAGAACAGCTATTGAAACTGTTTCAATATTGTTCCTTCCTGTACCAGCACAAATTCTTCTTTAATCACAGAGTGAATTTGATTGTGGAGATATTTCCACTAAAATCTAGTCATTAATTTTAATCCAGATAACTCCTCAACTGAGTTTGCCATATGACTACAAGGGGGCCAAGAGCAATGAATGAAAACAAACAGCTGTGCGTATTAGGGAAAGCAGGACTACTTCCTTTTGCAGCAGTTGTAGGCTTACACTAGCTTTAAAATGTTCATGCAATACCGAAAACTGTTTTTTGAGTTACACAAATGATCTGCTTGCTTACTACATAATAGGAAATATTTACCACAGATCCCATACATGATTTTTTTTTTGGTTGAAGAATTTCTCTGTGTATCAGTAAAATGAAACAAATTTTGATAGTTTTGCATCCCACACTACTTACTATGAAAATATATGCTGTAAAGACAGCACATTATCAGTGTGTTCTTTCAAGAAAATCTGTCAGAATTCTATTACCTTGTAATAGATGGCAGTGGTACAGTTTGGCTTTTCTTTTTTCTATATTTAAAAGAGGAATAAAAGCTTATTATCATAGAATTCCATGTGGCATGTGATTCTATCTATCCCTATTTTTAAAAGAGGTTTTGTGTGGGGTTGCATGATTTCACTTCTCTTTGTGGTTTTAATCTAAAATAATAATAGAATGTGGATGCCCCATTAAGGCATTTTTATTCCTCGTTACTGCCCCTGTAAAGTTGTCTTACTAATTGCAATTAAAAGTAATTGAGTTTGTGCAGGCTATTTATATGCATTTGCAGGAGCAATGGAATTAGAAAAGAGAACTCGTTTGCACAAACATATCATCTGAGGAGATGCTAAAAAAGTTCTGCAACATGTAAATAATAATTAAATAGTAACCCAACAATCAGTCTGAGTTATTCTAAGAAAATCCTCTAATTTATAACTCCTTTTTTCTCTTGGTTTTTTAGGATGACAGAAGAAAGGGTGACTCTTCCAAATACAAGGAACTCCTGTCAAAGCAAAACAACGTCATGTTCATTTTATTATCCAGATGTTTCCTACAGTAGTTCTTTTTGTTTTCAGGTGAAAGCTGAAAATGTTTTGGGTGAAGCTTCATCAGATTGTGTTCCTATACCTATGGAAAAAATTGGTAATTAAAAAAAAGTTAATTAAAGATAAATCAGTGTACATTGATCTGACTGCAGCCTTCCCAATTCTTTTTCCCTCTCTGCAGCATACAGGTTAGACAACTCTGAAACAAATTGTGTAACCAGAGTTGACTGACATAGGAGAAAATAGTGAACAAATAGTTTTTTGATGTAATAGTTTTGAAACTATTATTTGGGTTTCATTTAGTTTTAAATAGGTTTCAGTTTTGAAGCACCATCAAATTTTAATTGTTTGCTAAGATTATGAAGTCTCTGAAATTAGGTTTAGGGTTTAATAAAAGTTTTTGCCTTCCCAATTTTTTTCATCAAAGTTTGGATGCTTCCAATTTAGTTGAAGCAAGTCTCTTGTTATGTTTTAATTAATTGTGTTATTGTTTTAATTAATAGCCTTTCCATGTAAAATTGTTCAATCTGATTAGTGGTACAGCAGCAGTTTTCAACAATTTCTTGGTCTTACCTAGAGGTGGTGAAAAATTATATGTGGTGTATTCATACTATGAAGTATCTAACTACTAATATTTTTAAAGCTAATGTCTGACATATCCATTATAAATTACTAAGTTTTTAATTATTAACAAGTAAAGGCCATATACTAAATTTTCCTGTCAAACAAAGTGGTACCTGAACTGTGTTTTTGCGTTTTTGAGTGGTTATTGGATGTCAGTGCAATATCTGATTGTAAAGGAATATTGATATTATAATTCCTGCAGGTCCCCCTATCATTTAATCTGCTATTCTACTTTCTGGTTAGGAATGTTAAAACCCGACCTGTTCTGCAATTCCCAGGAGCAATAATAATATTTTGTCTACCTCTTCTCCCTCTGTGCTGTGCTGCATTTTCCTCTGTTGATTGTGGTGTAGTTCATCAACAACTGCTTTAACTGAGTATTTTTGCTGCAGCACTCCGTCAGCTCTCCAGCCACATGCTCCTTTATTCCCTGTGTTCAGACCTTCTGTGGCTTCTCATTACTTACAATATCCTCTGTAACAGCAATCTCAGTTCTCAGTGCTAATCCATTATTTTCTCATCATCTCCTTCACACTGGCCTCCCCCTCAAATATTTCTCAACTGAATTCTTCCCTCATCTGCAGTTTGGACTTGACTTTGGCATCCCTGCTGTGCTTTATGTCTTTTCCCTGCTGTTGTGTCTGAGTAGTATTTTTCAGTGCTGATACAGATGAAAAAAAATCTCTGCACATCTTTTTGAGAGCAGGTTTGTCAGCATTAAATCAGTTATGTGTGCGATCTGTCTTATAGATAATATCCCATATGTAGAGTTACATTTATAAAAGAGACCACCATGTGAATACTTTGGTAGGATATACGTTATTGGGATAATAAACTTCTTGGAACACACATAGATGGAGCAATTCTGAACTTTTAAAGAAGCATTTTCCCTTGTTAATGTTTTTGTTTCTCTGTTCTAGAGAAATTTGAACCTCCTGAAATACTTTCAGTTAAAAAAATCACCGGTATAAAGCAGTTGCTTACAGTAACCTGGAAAATGCCTGAGAAGATTATCCCTTCACAAGATTTAATTTGCCAGATTCAATACAGAAACATGTATTCAAACTCTTCGGTAAGCTACATAATTTTTTTTCTGAATATTAGCTTCTTTGTGACTAATTTTTTCATGTTGTAAAAGGCTAAATGGAAAAAAGTGATAAATAGTTGGAAATAATGTTTAAAACCATGTTGTTTTAGTGGAGCATAATTAGGTATGCACGATCTTAAGATCATGGTTCTGAGGTCTAGGATTAATTGTTCTCTTCTTTTTGGATAATGTCTGTTTTGGTACATACCATACTTCTGAATGTGTTTCTGTGAAAGTCTAAGGGATGACCTTGGGCTGAGGGATTACACATGCAGTTAGTCAAGTTGCATTTTGGTGTTGAAAAGAGCATGTACTCCCAACCACGGAAATTGAATCAGATGAAGATGGACTAATGATAACATTAGTTTTCAAGTGAATTGAAATACAAATTTTGCAAGATGCAGAACAAGGGAAGTTGTTTTTCTGAGTTTGTCTTTCTGTTACCTAAGTGGAACTGTTATAGAAAAAACAGTATTTAGTCATTTGCTTCTCTCAGATGGCCTATTCTGATGCTTCACCGTATGGCAGAGATTCTGTTTGCAGTCCTACTGCTTCCTCCTCTAAATTTAAGAATAGGCTACATTGCTTGGCTTGTTTTTTTTTAAGTTCATTAAACTGAGAGGTCTGCTTTGACCTTACTGTTTTATACATTAAGTGTGTAATTCTGGGGGAGAGGAATTCATCGGGGTAACTAACAGTAGTGTCCTTAGAGCTTTAAAGAAGATATTGGCTTCCTTCTCACATTCTCATGGTTAGCATCTTTACTGTAGATAAGACATAATACTTGTTGGATTCAGGATGCAGTATTCGGGTTGATCTGATGGTTCAAGTCCACTCAGGATATTAGAAACTGAATTAACATTTATTTATTTGTTTATTTAAAAGACCTGTTCAAGATGTTTATCCCTTTGGAGTCAAGATGCTGGTGTCTTTGTGATACTTATATGCATATGAGATCCTTCCCAAATGTTGAAAACATGCACTTTTTTCAAAGTTTCAGCATAATTGTGCATTAGTCAGCATCTGCATAAGAAATCACCTGTCTGCTTTTTCACTATCAAATACAGTCTATGTCCATTTTCTTCCTCAGAATTTGCTTGCATTTTTCTACAGACTTTCTAGGGAAAAAATAGTAGCCATGATCAGTAAAGACGAAAATCCAGTGAGTTTAGTTCTGTAGGTTCTTAGATTGGTGTGATTCAGTTTTGTCTGTAGCCAATCTAGTAGCAGTGGCCAACAAGACAGCCTCAAGCCATCAGTTAGACATAAGGAGCTCTTTTTCTGTCTTGTCAGCACATATATGCAAACCCCCCCCCCCCCTCCAAACTGTTTGAACAAATGACAGATATTTTCTTGACCTTTTAAGTCTGCCTACCAAAACAGTCTAAATAGTTTGCCGTGAACTGTTTTTACTGAGTGAAAAACAGATGACCTATTTTTCTACTTCCATATACTAAGTTTCTAGTTATAATTAAATATTGTTAACAGCTTTTTGTCAAGTAACTAAAAGGTAGTCTGGAGTGTCTACAGTTGTGTGTCAGCTTCTGCAGGGGGTTGATAATAGTTCTGAAGCCCTTTTTAAGGTTAGCCAAAGAGTCTTGTCACCTAGCTGTGGCTTTTGTAGATCCCTGAATTTGTTCTTGTAGAATCAGTTTTCTAGTTTTGACAGTGAGTTTCGTGAGATCAGAATGGACTGAAGTTTTTGGTTTCATTAGGCAGTGCACTTCCCATTATGTTGTTCAAAGGAGTGGGTGTCTCCATTTTGTATTCTTATAGTTTGATTTACTTTTCTTTGGGACGTTCAACTGGTGGAAGACAAGAATTTCATTACAGGTTTTTGCCCTGTTGTTGTACATCTACGTTGACATTACTACTTCAGTTTAGGTCCTGAGAGGGAATATTCCTTATTCTAAAACTTGCCTTTGCTGACCTTGTTATAATTTAATTAGCTTGAACATTTATTTTATCGTCTTTCAGTTTCAGCCATATGACACTTAAGAGGAGTTGTTAATTATTAATTTTTGCAGTTTGGAAGAGAAAACATTAATGCTGGTGTAGTGATTATATCAATCCTTCTGTCCACAAACACTGAAATCTTTCTATTGTTCCTGCAGTTTTCTTCCTTTTGTCAGACCAGTTGAGTTAATGCATCAATTCCAAATCCTAGTTTTCATGTTTTCTTTCACATTTTGTTTTGAAAGAACAATCTAGCTTCTGATTTCCATCAGTGCAATGTGAGTGGGCTCCTTTTAAGATGAGGAAATTACTCACCTTGTCATTCCTTTTCTAAGATACTTCATCAGTTATTTCTCGTACTCTTGTCTTCCTTCAGCTACTTAAAGGCTTCATCATTTTTCTCTGGGTACCAGAATTTTTTGTGTTTTCGTTGATCTTTTCATTTTAATGATATGCTGATAATCTTTGGGATGGCCTACAGCTACACTGTTATATGGCTAGAACTAGAAGACCCTCTAACTCTGAAAAGAAACTGAGTACCCATCTGGCTCACAAGCTGCAGATGATCACTGCTTCCCCAGGGATGCTTCTGCTGTGAAGTGGAGGTATATCCAGGACTTTATGGTGATATTTGCTTGAGAAATACCCTGTTGCTTCCCGCCAGTGGGAACTGCAGTCATTGAGTACCTCCTGTGCCAGCATAGCTGCTCTAGAATCATATGTGAGCTGCACATAGTTCAAGCCACAGGTCGGTCATTACAGACCTAGTTTTGGCTCAAGTTCTTCAGACTCTGGAGTTTTACAGGAAGAATGAAGATGCTACACAAAAAAATGAAATATGAAACAAGTAATTGTGAGTTTCAGAGGAGTGAGGTGGGACACATGAAAACTACATCCTTTGTGTCTTTTTTAAAAAACTAGTCAAATGTCTGCATGTGAATTTATAGTAAATAATTTTTGTTCATGTATCTACTTTCAGGAAATTGTCACTGTCCCACTGAATTCTGCAGAGAAAACAGGATCATGTAATCTCACAGGTCTGTGGGACTCAACAGAATATTTGGTTGCCATTCGGTGTATCAGTGTTGTGTCAGTATTCTGGAGTGAATGGAGTAGAGGGAAAACAGCAAGCACAGAAGAGAAAGGTAGGGTAACTATTTAGTAAGTTTTTCTTTGGTTACACTTTGAGGCATTAGGGTTTAATAATGGAAAACTGGATTTTCAGCATATTATCAGTCTGTTGAATTTAGAATTCTGTTGTTTAAACAGAACACATATTTTGTTTAAATAGAGAGAGAACTGAAAGACAAGAGCAAGGACTGGAGAAGATTTGAGAGGTGGTACAAGCAACATAGGGCTAAGGAAGAAAATGGGTGAATAGACAGTGAAAGGAGGAAAAATTAAAGTGTAGATGGAGACTGAACATGAATAAATAGGATGGTAGCAGAAAGGTAGTGTAGCAAGTATATTTAATGAAATTAACTATAAGTAGAGAAGTAAAATTGCCAGTTATAAAATAAGACTAGAAAATCTCCTCTAGAACTTAACAAATAGAAGAAAACATATGGAAGGGGACTAGCTTTACTAATTAAAGAAAAAAAGGCACAACAGTATGCAAGGAAAAAATTCTGTTTATTAAGTTGCTCTCAGACTGTATTTTTGAAATATTTTAATTGTTTTTACCATATTACACTATATTTTTAATATAACAACAAATTTCAAGATATTTTTGTGTCTTTAAATAGCTCCTTCAGAAAAAGTGGATTTGTGGAGAGTAATTGAGTCTTCACACCCAGCTGGAAGTAGATCTGTACATCTTATGTGGAAGGTATATACTCTTTTTGTGAATTGATAATCATATTAGTATCCTGTAGCTGATGTCACACTGAAGTATTTTAGTGTTGTAGGACAAATAACTGCCAGGTTTTTTCGCTGTCATCACTAAAAAACCTCACCGAACTAAAGCCGAATTGAAAAGGTTTCTGTGTACTGAGTGGTAGCTAAATAGAGTTTTGTAATCTGTGCAGAAAGGAAGGGTTTAATTGGGTTCAGATTGCTGGAAAAGCTGATTGAAAGTCCTTACAACTTTAATTTTGTAGTAGAGTGACTAGAGGCTTTTTGCATTTCAAATCTCAGTATTTGACTTTTGAACCTTTCCTTCAATGAAATTGTCACAGCTGACTGTCCTGAAGATGGGACTGAAGAAAGTACCTTGCTTTTCTAAATATAGTATAATCAGTTTTTAATTTGATCTAGACCCTTTAATATAGCGTATACTTTTGATTATACAAATAACATTGTGAAACATTTAACTGCTGTATATTTTTTTAATAGCTATTAAACAGCTTTCCACCTTCTGGGAGAATTCTAGGCTACAAAATACAGTATTTTCCAGAAAACAATGCTGCACTTAAAATGACAAATGTCTCTACCGATAAGAAAATTGTTCTACTTTTAAACGAAGAGGCATACATAATATCTGTTACTGCCTATAACTCTGCTGGAAATTCTCCTGAAGCTCTTTTGAGGATTCCATCCACTGATGAAAAAAGTAAGATTTCTCAATAACCTGATACATTTTTCTCATTAACAGAAAAATATTTTTTTTTTACAGTGTTGAACATCTGTTTAAGTTGTGTTACAGTGGAAGCAAAATTGTGCTAAGGACTTTTGTCATAGATCTACCTATATAGAACTGTATTATATACAAAGCTGTGTAGTCCATTACTTTTTACTAGAACAGTATTATCTGGTTGGTGTATTTTGCTATCAAATATCATGTTCTTGTTAGAAACAATTATTTTGGGGGTTTTTGATTTGAGATATGGTTGTTAAGATACCAGCACTTTCTGATGTCTTCTTAGAATTTCTATTTTATTACTTTCTGAGGGTTTTTTTGTTTTTATTTTTAACCTTGGACCTCCCAGCTAAACTTAGGGAGTGCAACTCAGCTCTGTCTTATCCCTCTACTAGGTCATAAGATTGGTTACCATAGGGCATTATTGAAGTGCATTTAACAACATCATTCAATGATGTATTTAATACAAAGTCCGTAAGATGCATCAGTGGAAGCAGAGAGAGAAACATTGTGTTTATTTTCATTTCATTTGCATTCCTGCACCCACTGCCAGAGTTAGGAAGCTGGTCTGCTCTAGCACAACACTTGTGTTCTTAGACTGTTATGTTTAATTCTGGTATATCTGTGAGTCTTGTATTGTAACATCCTGCTGCCTACCCATGATCCAGAAGAGAGTTTACATTTGACACCCTTGAATCACTTCTACATCAGTTGTTCATGAACTAAGTGCAAGTGTCCCACTGGAATTGCTCAATCAAATTCCAGTTTTATCAGAACACTGTATATGTAGACATGATGTTGTCTTTTCCTGGAGGTTGATGACCTTCCATATCCCATAGAAAATGTTTTTCTGATTTCTTTCATGCTATGACATGCTTTTTTTTTTTTCCCCTACATACATCTCTCTTCCCTCTGCTTCACCGGGTCTTTTTTCCCTCTGCTTTACCAGGTTGAGTTTTCACTCAGACTTTCATTACCTGTTCTGCAGGTTGATGGTTCACTTTTGCTTCACTGTCACTCATGACCTTGCTGACTTGATTTACTGTTTTCCTGTTTCTCAATCAAAACTTGCTTATCTGCACTGCCTGTAAATTTGGTAGTAAATAGCTTTGTAAAATTTTTCAAACTGTAAAATTCAGATCCTAAAAGAGAGACCGGCCTTTGATTCTGTATGTGTAAATCTCATTGAGTATCATCTCCTCAATCAGGCCCCCCCCCCCCCTTTTCCTTGTAACATTTCTTATGTGCTTCATTTAAAGTATTTAGAGTACATGCATGTGAAAATAGGTATAAAGTCACTTTATAAATTTTTTTTAACCTTGACTAAATCCCATACTCTTCTAAAGAAGCAATCTCAGCTTGCTATAATTGAATAGCTTTCTTGCTGCAGTTATTATGAAGATAGAATTACTGACATTCTCTGTAAAATTTTTAGCTTCTCAGATTATTGAAACGGTGAGGACCTTTACAACAAATGAGGAAGTGGTTGTGAAATGGACAGCCTCCGAACCAGAAGTAACCGAATATGTGGTTGAGTGGTATGAGGAACTGAAGACAGATCCCTTTGGTAGATCATGGCAATATGTATCAAATTCTACAAACTGGAAAACTAACAAAAGTATGTTCATTTATCAGTTACAGCTGTAACAACATACAGATATATTTGTATTTTTGGATATTTGTTTATAGGTAGACCAGAAAGAACAAAGATGAACTTACCCAGCTTTCCTCAGACCATTTTAAAAGATAACAGTATTATTACATGCTTTATTGAAATCTTTGCATGTAATTTAATAGCAATTTTAACTCAGATCTTCACAAATGTGTAAGATGATTGCTGCCATGTAGGATCGGGCTACATATTTCATGTTTAAGCACTTCTGTGGCTTGATCTTATGTCATAAATCTTCCAGTAGGGAGGCCTGTGATAGATGTACACTATTTTACTGGAGAAATCTACAACAAAAAAAAAAGAATTTGAATATGGGAAAATACCATGTGCCTTCATGTGTGTTAGAGAGAGAGCAAGAAGCCTGAAAGAGGGTGTGATGGAGAATTCTACTTTAAAACAAGCAAGTGAAGTGATTGGTCAATCTGACATGTTAAGTATCACATAATCACGTTTTTATTGTGACCCAAGGCATTTCTAAGAAGTTTCAGTGGCCTTATGCACTGATGAATAGGTAAGGATCTGTTTATTTTTTTTGTTTTAGAAGCTGACTTTTTTAACAGGTAATCTAAGTAGTAATGTTTTGGCTATGTGTATGTTTCAATGGAAAACCAGTGTGCAGAGCTAAAGAGATATGTGCAAAGGCAAAGCTGTGAATGTTGATGTCGATGTGAACAACCCGTGCACCTTACTTAAGCTAATAAAATACTTCTGCTTTTCTGTATATATTTGGATTTTTTTTACAAACATAGGCATAAGGGTGAAAATGCATAATGTATGTTATATGTGATAAGTGAATTTTAGATTATTAGATCTTTGATTCTCCATTAGTGAAATTAAATTTTATCAGATTTTAAAGTGGTTCTTGTTCAAACAAGGATCGATCTGAATCCTACATTAAGGAAAAAGAATTTCCAAAGTTTTCAGAAAGCAAGTACCCACATTTTCAAAGTGAAAATGAACACTTGGTTCATTAATGATGAATATAGCTAGCTTGCCCGTGGAATTTTTCTTAGTGGCTCAGACAACAGTGATTTAAATACTGTTTATGTGCTACAGTAAAACAAAAATCTGCTTCAAGCAAAATTCAAGAGCAGTTTATTACATATTGAACAGAGATGTGTGAGTCTTGAGTCTTATGCTGAAAATTGCACTATTTCAGTAATTTAATATGGGGACTAAATGCTATTTATAGCTGTTCTCACTATAGAAAACCAACAACTTTCCTCCTCAGCATTATTAGGTCTTTGTTTACACTAAGCACATTAAGAATGTCAAGGCAAATTCAGATAGTGTTATTCAGGCCTGGAATTATTTTAAGGATGACAAGATATGGGCTATCATAATTTTTGCTGGGTTGCAGGAGGTAGCACAGGGAGCAGATATAATGCAGGGATCTGTCAATAGCCATTATTCTTGCTGAAGAAGCTGCAGAGCTTGAGGAGGAATGGTGTAGGAAACCCTTTACACTGGTTTTGTCCCATGGAATGTAAAGCCACAGATGTGTCCTCTCAGAAATGGTGAGAGATGCTCATAAGTAGAGGGTGCACTCTATTGATTACTTGGCTGCTAGGTTGTTCAGAGTTAAAAACTTCATTTCCAGAAGCTTGAACTATGTTTTGAAACATACAAAATTCTACTGCAGAGATTATGTTTGTACAATTGTACTTTCAGTCAAGCCTGTTAGAATCAGATCTGCAGTTGTCATAACTGGAACATCAGTGTAGAGTTAAGAGCTGGGGCTTCATAATGCTTTTTAAGCTGTTTCAGTCATGAGACGAAACTCTCTTCTGCAGAGCAGTAAACCTAAAGATACATGAAATTAAAAATATTCCTGAAAGTATCTTTTTATGCTGGTTATTTGAAAATAAAAACTTCCTGCAATACCTTAAACTGGTACAAGATGATTAAGTGTCTTTGTATAGAGAGGATGTATAATGCTGAAGTATAATTACTCATTCAATGTATTCCTAGTGAAAATGAGTTGGAAACAAGTGCTCTTATGAATGCTACTAAATAAAATTCATTATGTAATGAGCATTTGAGGTAATAAATATATATAGTGCTTGCTAAAAAGCTGAAGAAAATAGAGGTTTGTAACAGTATATTTAGAACTGTACTGTGATTTATTCTACTTTCATTGATTCAGTCTCACATAGAGAATTGTATGTAAATATTTCCTTTTTTCCTTTACAGAAAATTTTAAACCATTTATATGCTATAACATCTCAGTGTATCCTTTATATGGAAATAAAGTAGCAGCTCCATGTTCCATACAAACATATGTTCAAGAAAAAAGTACGTATTTTAAACTAATAATGTTGTGAAAGGTATGTTGTAGTTTGTCTCTCAGGGTGTATTATCTCTGAGCAGTTTGGTACTGGCATGGAGAGATGCATGTGCTCAAAAAACCCAGGTTTCAGTCTTCCAGGTTTCTGTTCATAGATCAGCTGTTGAATTGTTCAGTGAAGAAAATCTTGTGATAGAGGTACATTGCTGCTTGAATCCACTCATTTGTTGTAAAGTTTACATACTGCATATAGAGCACTTGTAAACAGTATAGCTACAAACACGAAACAGATTTTTTAAACCGGCTATCTCAAATGTTACAACTCATTTAGATATAAAATTAGACTTGATTTTAATACTTGACTGCATTTATCAGTCCTAATATATGAGGAGATTCTACTCACAGAATAAAACAGATGGTTTGAAAGCTTGCTTTTCATTAAATTTTATACTGTAACAAAATATTTGCAGTCCTGCACATTAAAAATGGTAAGAAGCCATGATGTTTGTAATTAGATAGAAACTGTGGATGAAATAGTGTTTTGGGGAGGAAGGTTTCTTAATTTGCAGAAGTTTAATGTGAATTGAGTGATCTAAGAATGTAATTTACTCGTAATTTTAAGATTTCAGGTGAAAATATCTCTGTGTGTGTGTGTGTGTGTGTGTACGTAGGTCTATGTAAGTGTGCATGTACACATAGTATACTAAACCATTAATTACTAGGAGGAAGTAATGGATTATTGTACGTTTGAGTAATACTTACTAGCACAGTTAGAACTTTGTTTTGAGTGCTTTCCTGTTCATAGGGAGCTGTGGCAGTACTAAAGGTTGTCAGAGAATGGGAAGGAGGATACTTGTTTTAAAACTGAGGTACAGAGAACTCTTGCTTCAAAGTTACGAACAATGCATGTGAAGTTGTGTAAGTAGAAAGACTTTGTCTAATGTAATGGGCAAAGAGTGGAGGTGCTGGAGATCCCATCTGAATTTCAGTTCAGCCAGAGATGTCCTGCATAGACAGAGACCTTGCACCTGAGTTCCCCCATTAGCGCATGTGTTCCCCCATTAGCGCATGTTTTACCTCTTGATCTCTGATTGTGGTGAGGATAGAGCCTTTTAATGATCTTGAGAAGGACTTGGGGGTGTTAGTGGATGGAAAACTAAATATGAGCCAGCAATGTGTGCTTGCAGCCCAGAAAGCAAACCATGTCCTGGGCTGCATCAAGAGAAGTGTGGCCAGCAGGCTGAGAGGAGAGAAGGGATTCTACCCCTCTACTCTTGCTCTCTTAGGACCCAACACCTCTGTGGCCCCCAACACAAGAAGGTCATGGACCTGCTCGTGCAGGTCCAGAGGAGGACCACAAAGATGATCAGGGGGCTGGAGCACCTTTCCCGTGAGGACAGGCTGAGAGAGTTCGGGTTGTTCAGCCTGGAGAAGCTGAACAGAAGGCTCTGAGGAGACCTTGTAGTGGCCTTCCAGTACTTAAAGGGGGCTACAGGAAAGATGGGGAGGGTGAGGATAGGATGAGGGGTAAGGGTTTTAAACTGAAAGATTTACATTAGATATAAGGAAGAAATCATTTTCTATGAGGGTGGTGAGGCACTGAAACAGGCTGCCCAGTGAAGCTGTGGCTGCCCCCTCCCTGGCAGTGTCCAAGGCCAGGTTGGATGGGGCTCTGAGCAACCTGGGCTAGTGGAAGGTGTCCCTGGGGGTTGGAACTAGCTGGGCTTTAAGGTGCCTTCCAACCCAAACTATTCTATGGTTCATTCTGTGATTCTACGATCTTGAGGTATGTGGATGAAGTAACTTTCAGAACTATGCAAATGCTAGAATAGATGAGAGGAAGTATTACCAGAAGAAAGCACACATTAAAGAGGTTGAGAAAAATTGAGGGCTATATCAGAGCACTGAGATGGCATACTTGTATGTTTGTTGCCTTTAATGTTACTGGTATGTGTGAAGTAACGTAGATGGATTACACTGTGGTACTTAAGACTATTTTACTACTTTTTTTAATTTTATAATGCTTCTGTTTAGAGCCATCAGAAGGACCTGTGGCTGACACAGGCATTCCAGGGAAAAATGAAGTTACAATAAAATGGAAGGAGATTTCAAAGGAGAAGAGAAATGGATTTATCAGTAGCTATACAATATTTTATAAACCTGAAGATGGAAAAGAATTAAGTAAGTATGCATTACACATCAGTGCTTTCCACAGGGTTATGACAATCTGTTGTCTGAAGATAGTTATTTTCATAGTTACTAGCAAACTTTATTGTATCTTATAAGTATGTATGAAAATACTGGTACTAAAATGTGGCTTACATAAAGATTAAGAAATTTTGTAGGTTTAACTGAAATGATGGGGTACTTATTGAATAGTTCTTTAATACTACATGTGTACTCTTGCTTAATTTCTTTGTTCTGAACTTATTTTGTACAGCACTGCTTGCTCACAATTTATCATTTTTGATATTAGTATTGTACTGCCCATGGTAGTCATGACTGTTGACCACATCATCCTTTCTGCTTCTCAGATGCAAATCTGATAGATCTCCGTGTGATAAATTTAATCAGTGCATGGCGACACTATCATTCTTCCCCCCTTTCCAGACGAGGATGGAAATTCCATTATGAGAGGCTTTTTGCAGATTGTTCTCCATTAACAATAAAAAAAATAAATTTGCAGGTTTATGCCAAATGGGAGAGTATTATTTGTCAGATACTTGCTGTTTTCCTGTTTTACATATGTACTAGTCTCCTTCCATCTTCACATCTCTCTCTCATCATGACACACCTCTGAAGCCAATAGAAAAGACATGATAGAAGAAGAGGAGCTAATAAAATATGTTGAAGAGTCATAGACCCTGTGCAAATTCCTGAATTTGAACCTAACAAGGATTCAGTGCATTTATAAGTTCCATGCATGTCCTTGAAGGATGCTTTTCTCATGTTCTCAGCTTCTGGAACAGTATGGTGGAAATTTTATGATAAAAATGTTTTTACAGTCAGTTTTATAATAAAAGCAAAATAGCAAATGCTAATCAGAAGCTAAAATAAGCTGACAAGAAATAGTTTCTCTGAACATAGTTTTTAGATTAATTTCCTCAAATGTACTTGATTTTTTCTGCTGGATATTGCTTTTCTGCTCTGGAGGCTGATAGTATAATTTTGGAGCATATTCTTAATCTCCTACCTCAGGAGTAATATCCATTCCAGGTGTTAGTAATCTATTCAGAACTTTTCTAGCCTAAATCTCAGCAGAATATTTCATGAGAAGTGCTTCAGTGACCTAAATTTATTCTTCCTGTATAGTTTATGAAGAATGCTGTTGGATGATTCAATGCTTCAGAAATAGTTCTTTTTCCTCCTTTAAGACATCACTGTTAACAGACACCAAACATAATCCTTATTAAAAATAATTCAAATTTACAAATCTTGCGGTGTTTTCAGTTGCTTCTGGATATCTAGTTCGGAGCCAGGGCAAGAGTATTCTTGATAATTTTTAAATTAGAAAGAGAAAGCCGATTATTTCTGTCACATTCAGTCCTCTACCTGCAGTTTTTCCTGCCATGTTGGTTTCTGAGTAATTTAATGCTGACTGCAGCCTCATGTTGTGGAGCTGTATGTCTCCATATTACTTATATTATAAAGCAGACTGTGCCCATTTTAAGGATTCAGATTAGTTCCTTTAGGAAATTAGTTTTAAATAGCAACTCGAAGGAGTTAAAATTAAATTGCAAAACACTATTTTATTGATGTTTTATGAGGCTTCTCTGATGTCACATCTTTTTGATAAGAATATAACATGGAGTTTGTGCCAAGGTGACTTAATTGATGGCCTTTTAACTCTAGAACTTCACTTTCCCCTCTTTGACAAGATAAATTCTTAGTTTGTTCTCAGCACATACTGCACCATATCTATTTCCTGAGTGTTTCTTGCCTGAACTGAATGATGACATGAGTTGGCTGCATCAGAAATGAGTGACTTAAATTTCATAATATGAATATGCTTTTAGTACTGTTTGTAGTCATTGAATGTTGTGATATATGCCCTGCTTAAAAAAAAGTTTTTAATTTCTGAGCCTAGGTTCCAGGAAATAAAATTCTCAAAGCACTGTTTTCAATGATAAAATAAAACTCAAGGGATCATAATTTGCCCGTCTTTAATATTAGCAAAAAAATATGTGTTTATTTTTAAAATAAATCATAATAGTTTATTTTTTTTCCCTAAACTTTTAAGTAGCATTGATAAACATGGGTAATTTAAGTTTTCTCTCTCAAAGGACTGATAAGGTCACTCTGTATTTCAAGTTGTCTTTAAAATACGTTGTGATCTATCGTTGTAAAAGATGCATAACTGTATGGTTCCCTGATATAACACTATTTTGTGTGTTTATTGATATAAATCTTCTCCTAAAAAGATGAAACAGTGAATTCTGATGTTCTGCAGTACAGACTGAAGTCCTTACAGGCTAATACACAATATACTGTTTATATAATGGCAAACAATGGAGCTGGTGGAACCAGTGGAGAGCCCAAAACCTTCAAGACTTTAAAATTTAGTAAGTACTATTCCAGGTTAGTTATTACTGTTTTAAAAACAGGTTTGGGAGTAAGAAATAATGGACATGTTTGTTTAGGCTTGTATTAATCTATTTTTTAAAAAAATCAGTGTTAAACAAGACAAGGAAGAATTACCAGCACTAACTGAATTTAACTCAGTTTCACTGATCATGTCACAGACTAAAACCTCAAGATCAGAAGTCAAACCCCAAAATCTTTGTTTTACTGTCAATAAAGCTGTGGAATACTATGTATTTGGTGGGAGCAACAGTTTGTATGCTGTTAGTTATGGGATGGGGTTCCTAACAGTTTGTTAAAAAGCAGATATTTCTATCTGAAATACTAGATTTAGGATAGCCATGCACTGCATTGTATTCTTTCTGCTATGTAAGCTTAACTAATAGATGACTGAACAGGTTGTGGCCAGTGTGTGTGTGTGTGTGTGTGTGTGTGTGAGATTGGTATGGTGGCTTCAGACACTTCCTCGTTTCTACTTCTGGAAGAACATTTTCAATACATACATAAATTGTCACAGTGGTGGCCAAACTGAAGTATAAAAAAGCGCTTGAACTATCCTTGAACTTGGGAACTTGAAGCTAATTTATTTTTCGCCTGTAAATTCATCTGCTAGTTTGCTAGTCAAATGCAAAGTAGGTTAGACTATGCTGAGGTCCGGTCTCTACTGCTGTCAGTACCTACCTGTGGTACCTGTGGTAGGTACTTGCAAGCTATCTCAGAAATCAGTGCGCTGTTTCAGAATAATTGTATTTTCTGTGTATTTAAAACCTGCATTGAATTTACTATTTACTTTGTAGTACAGGTTGAAGTGGTACTGTATTGCAGCTTTATGTGACTCTGAAACAACAGGTGCCCAGAGAGGTGGTAGACTCTTCATACGAGGCGACTTTCAAAGATTGCCTTGGTATGACCCTAAGCAACCTGATTCTAATTTCAGAGTTGGATGAGGCAACCTACAGATGTCCCTTCCAATCTGAATTGTTGTGTGATTCTATTAAATAAAGGAAATTTTTAAATGCAATACATCTGTTCTTGAGATATCCTAAGAAGTCTTATCATGAGCTGCTTTTCTGGCTCAGTAACTGTGACTGGTTGAATTAAAAATACTCATCTTTTGACATGTTGTACAATGAGTACTAGTGTTATGAGTAATTTTGGCTAGTCTGGACAGAGCTCTTTAGAATTGTGCTCATTAGATGACTTGGATGTTGAAAATTAACTGTTTTAAGGGAATACATGAAGTAATTATGAACATCTCTGTGTTTTTTTGTTTGTTTTTTTTTTTCCCCTCTAAAGATAAAGAAGATATTATTTTCATTGCTCTACCCATTGGATTAAGCATGTTGTTTCTGTTAGGCCTTTGGATAACATGCATTTTGAAAAAACATGTGTGAGTATATCTTCTGCTTTCTAAAACGTAATGCAATCAGTTCATTTTAACTTGTAAAAGGCAAATTTTTATATATCTTATAAATGCCTTTGTTGGATTCCAAACTAATGTCAAGAAAATAAGCCACTGAAGTAACAAAAAACTTAAGTTCACAGGTTATCTTGTAACTGCAGTTAATGTGCTGTAGTCCAGAAATAAATATTAATTTTAGAAAGTGCAGCAAATCAGAACAAATGGAATAAGAGAAACAGATTTACACATCACCTGTATCAGTTTATGGAAGATGCTACATGCCATTTGCAGTTCCATGGTCAGTCAAGTGAGGGAAGTATACTTCGAAGTCAGTTACTGAAAGCTAATAATGCCAGAAATAAAGTTTCCCAGGCACTCTTAAGGTATTTCACATAACCCCTATTACTTACCTTAGCTACATTAATATTACTTCTGTTAGTTTATGACACTTCCCTTGAGCTAAAGAGGTTGTGAAGAAACTAGAAATTACATCACGTGAAAGTATTTGTGTGCTTGATCCATGAGTTTGGATCCAGATCTATACACAATTCATAATCCTTTTATCTGCCATCATGATGTCCCCTGCCAAATTTTACTTTGGTTCTTCAGAGCATGGAGATGCTATAACATCCCAAAGATGACTGTGAGGATTTTATCAGGTTATAAAATATGCTTTCTTCAGCATGAAAAGTGACTAGGTTGTTTGGTTGAAGCTTAATAAGAAGATTAATTATTTTGGGTTGTTCTAAACTATTAGAACCAAGATTGTTGTTATGCGAAGCATCAGGTAGTAAGTAATAGTTGAAGCAGCAAGTACAATTTCCAGCTCTTCTACGTCTTAATCTGTGTTGTGTACTCTTGACTTTTTAGAGTGGTAAGAAACTGTGTTTTGATTCTGAAAAATACTTTGAGATGTAGTTGAGTGTTCATATTCTTGTGTAGATCAAATTGCAATGTGAAAAGTCAAGCTGTGGCCTGGTTTTTGTTCACTCACATACATACCCAGTATCAATGAGTGATTAATTTTGTTTCCTGTTTACTACTCCATTGGACAGTTACAAGCTACAGTGTCAGTCAGCATCATTTGTCTGCTGTTAATGCAAGAAGTCCAGTATATCTCTAGTGTGGTGTAGTGCTAGAGACACTTGCCTACAGCGAAGTTTAGCTGAGGTGGCTTTTCACTGAAGAACCATCCTGAAATATAATCATAACAGATTTTGTATACAGCCTTATTTTGGCATGCTGTTATTTGATCTACTATATAATAATACAGAAGACTTTAGTGCATTAGTAATTTTTCTGCAGTGTCTCTGTAGCCCAAGATTTTTACTTGTTGAGATATTTTTTTAGTAAGAATTAATGTGAAGGAAAACAATTTTAATGAAAAAGATTGTGTTAATGTAGGAATGACTTCTGTTGTGGAAGTTTGGTATTTGGGCTTTCTGGAGATTTGTTAATTTTATTTTTAATAATCTATTTCTTATTTGACTAAAATTACTTTCTCAATGATAGGTTTAAAAAGGTTTGCTGGCCTGATATACCCAATCCTGCAGAGAGCATTGCAGTGGAATGGCCTCTTGATGTATCTATGGTAATAATTGCAATTTTATCTTTTTTATTGTTGGATATTTCTTTCTTATTAAAGTTTTGATGTTTGTTTGAATGATGTGGTGTTGGTCAGGTTTACATAGAAAGTATAATCTGTGGAGAATGGGATTTAAGTTCTGTCTCAAAAATGTCTGTTTGGAGTGGAAAAGATGGAAACAGTCCCAGCCTGATTCCAAGTCTTCATTAAAACTCCTTATTTTATTAAGCACAGAAAGCCTAATATAAAAGTGTTTAAAAAATGGACAGAATGACATTGTCATTTTTAGTACTCATCCACGTATAACTGCATCCCAGCTGAAATTAACATGTAATCTGTATTAATGCACTTTTAAAATTGAGTCAAACAGAGCTTAAATGGCAATATTTTATATATTAAAAAACTCCCAAAACATTATATCTATATAATTTTGCAATTTATTTCTTTTTACTGACAGAATAATTCATTTTTGAAGGGAGTGACATCTGAGGCTAAAACCATAGACTTTGAAGACATAAGTGTTTTGGAACATTGTTTTCCTGAAGAAAGTCAGGAAGGACCACTACTAATGAATTGTGAAAACCATGTTTCTGAATGTACTGATATTAATACAAAAGGCATGAGTAATGGAGATAAAAAGATACTGTATAATGAAAAAAATGAAGTTGCTAAATGTTTTTCACCATCCATGCCTTATATAATTGCTGATCAAGATATCAGAAGTCAAATGCATTCAGCTTTGATACCAGCAAAGGAAATCCAACCCATAGAAATGCTGGAAGATGACTTATGTGGATCTCAACAGACTTCAATTAAAAATGAAAATGATAACGAAGAAGTTTTAAAGCTGGAAGATTTAAGTGAAAAAGCACTGTTCAATCCATACCTTAAAAATTCTGTTAAAACAAGGGAATTTCTTATTTCTGAGAATTTGTCAGAACACAGTAAGAATGAACCCAGAAGCCAATCAACTCTGTTACCTCCTTTTCAAAAAAATGTTGCTGGACAATCCTATGTAACATTGGACATGTTTGGGCTGGCCACAGCTCATTAGCATGAGAAAACTTCCCTTTGTAAAGCCCCCTTGTAAGATATATCTTGGGCACTGCTGCTTTTATGTATTCATATGTACTAACCTGGCTGATCTCAGTTCAATTCTATGGAAACACCCCTTTCCTTTGAACAGTTGTGAACTATTTTTTTGCACTATGTTTTTACCCATTAGGGTTCACTTTCAGTGTGAGGTGGGTTTTTTTTGTTTGGTGTGGTTTTGTTTTTGTTTGTTTGTTTGTTTGTTTGTTAGATAGATGGATCTAGATGGATCCATCTAGATAGATGGATCAGGAGTGAGGCAAAGGAAGTAGCTTTTCTTACTGCTTAGTTCTTCCATATATATCGGTTTGCTAAAACAAATTGGTCTTTACTCTGGGAACTTAAAGCAGTGCAAGCAGCTTGCTGATGTCTCCCCAGGCAACCAGCTCCCGTGGCTGAGCTCTGCTGGGGAAGCGTGGACTGGCTTGAACAGAGCCAGGATATGCCAAATCATTCCTTAAGTTACATGGAGTAGAACCACTTTCCTGTTCTGATTTCCCTCAATTGTTCTATATCTGGTTTTATGTATAGTGTTCCTCCTGTTTCATAAATATTTGGTAGATTTCAGTAATTGTCTTTTTGCATGATGTCTCTTGAATCAGTGGTTTGGCTCATAGCTTCTCTGTCTCTAATGAGAGAACAATTGTTATGTATATGCTATTGACTTTTCTGCATTTTAGAAGAGGTAGTGTTATGCTGATTTTGTTGCTTCCTTCCCTTTCTCTTGTGTTTTTAATCATTCTCTGCATATTGTGCTGCTTTTGTCTCTCCAGTTTGTTTGCTGTGTTTGCTGCCTTTTAAAACCGTTTACTGCAGGGTATCTTCTTGTCCTTTGCCTCTAATTTCTCTCAGTTTAAAACTGTTTCCTAGTTGAGGTTTTGATATTTTGAACTGAACTGAAAAAAAAATTAACCAAATACAACATCTTGTGTTGGAATAAGCACTGAATTTATATTTAGGAAATTGTTTTTCTGGAAGGTGTTGAAAGAACACTTAAGTCTACAAAAATATCCCCAGATATCCCCAGGTAACTGATTTAGGAATAGATTTCTATATGAAATCTATAACTTTTGTCATTTGTTTTATGATTTAGATAGGTCACAAAACTACTTGTAATTTCCATTTTATACAGCAGCAATTAAGCAGGAAAACTCTGCATCACACTATTTTTTTTTTTTTTTTTCAGCAGGAAAGAGGCTATTACTGTAAAATTCTTACCAAAATACAAATACTTACTCTGTTAAATGAGAGGTTAAGAAAAGAGATGGAGAGTCAGCTCAGAGTAAAATGTGTTAACAGAGGATGTTCAGTATGGCCCATGTGTGGCATATAGTAATTTTAAGACTCTAAACTATTTTCAGAATATTTAAAGGCTTGATGTCATCAGTCTTGTTGGTGCATAACTAGACTGCTTTAGGGGTGAACTAGATACAGGAGTCATGGGGATAGAAAAAGGAGAGACAAATGTGAATAGGAATAGAAAGCCTTTCTTTTCTGTGCAGGAAGAGGAGTAGGAGAATGCAAAATACATTGTCCAGCATGAATGAGAAGGCAGAGCCCGATGTATTGGCCATTACTTGCATTGGGTTGGGGAAGACAGGGTAAAATTTACATTTAGGCTTTTCATGTATAGTTTGGAAGCTGCTCTTACTTATAGCAATATTTGCTTAATTTCCAAGAAAGGATAAGAATACAATTTCTGCAAATGTTACTTGTACACCAACACTGATTCCCATCCCCCTCCCCAAGTTTGTTGGATTGCTTTCCCAACTACAGTGCTATAAGCCAAAATGTATGCATGTTTGTGCTTAAAAGCCCTTGCCTCACGTAAATCATGCTCTGAAACGAGTATGGGATACAGCTTCGGTTGGGTCAATGCTCCTGCTGCTTCACTCACTTCTGGACTTTGCACTCACCCTTACATTGCTGTTCTCTAGGGTTCAGAAGTCACCGACTCAGTCACAGCAGGTTTTTTTCACCTTAAATCTCAGTATTTTTTTTAAATATCACAAGATTTTAAAATAAACAGATCCAGAGATATTTTGGGGCCTGTCTAGGGATTACTTAGCAACCATATGAAAGCTGCATACTCCAGTTACATGGTTGAGTCAGGTAAAAAATAAAATTAATGCAAACTTTAAGAGGTCATTAGAAAGGGGAGGGTCTTGCTCTCCCTGTAAGAACACCTCTTAGCTTCTGAAGGGTAAGTAATAACCTGCTTTTTCATTCCATTTTATTTCTTTCTCTATTGCTATGCAGCTTTTCTCTCCCCATTTTGGAACTGCTTGTCCATTATTTTCTCTGCAAAAGGGTAATGCAGTAAGTGGTCTCAGTACATCTCAGAAATTAGGGCCACCTTTTGCCTGTGCTTTGGAACATCAGCTTCTTGGATTTGGTTTGTTTTACATTCAGAGTTGTACTCTTTCTGACCTTTCACAATTTGTCTTTCAAACTAATGCTGTGAAGCATGAAAAAATAAAACTGAGAACATATGAAAAAGTTTTTATCAATTTATACTAAATACACCATTTAGGCATTTTCGATTTTCATATTCATTTAGAAATGTGACCCTATAGATTGGGTATTTGGGCAGTTTATTCCACCTTTTTAATGTCAAGTGGCTATGGCAGGTTGGATGTTAAAATATTTTAACACTTTTGGTACTTTTAAACAGAACATCTGGTGTCATTATTTTTAGAGTGGTCTTCCTAGATTTAATTTTATTTCATGATGACCGATCTGAAGGATGCCCATTTCTACTCCTTAAAATGCAGAAAATTAATCTCTCACATGTATGGGTCTTTGCAAGGTTAACGGAGATCAGTTTGTGGCATAGTTTCAAGAAGATGTTGATGCATCTTCACAGTTGTCATCTTCTGTGTATCATACAAATAATTCCTTTCTGACCTTAAGGCTTATGCCCTGCAAATTATTAATGTCATTTTTTTCACTTACCAGATTTTTAGCTAAATTAGATGTTCAGTGTATTGTTATCTGAGTTTAACTTCCTAGAATTTTGAAGTCTTTGAACAGGAATCCCACAAACTCTGTGATATAACAGAGTAACCTATTATAGGCAGATTTTCTATACTACATGGCCGATGATACTTCTGTGTTCCTTGTGCCATTTGCAATTGCCCAGATAGGGGGAAAACTTATGTTAGTGGTAAATGCAGTGGAGAAGGAAGCTTTCTTCCTCCAGTTAGCACTGACTTGGTCAGTGCATGCTTCTCCACAGGTGATGTGATTTGCTGCTGAACAGCTACTGTAGATGGGCTGCCAGCTGGTGCTATTCAGTGTTTATGTGGCCACAATGTGTATTTCATTACAGATAACATGTTGTCTTTTCCTATTCCTGAAGGATTGATTATTATAAATAGATCTCTCTTTTTAAGATAGTTGATGATTTCTCAAGATACGTGTTTCAACTTCTGTTCACGAGTGAGAACTTACATAGAAGAGTTGCACTGCTAGTCTGAGTTTGTTATCTCATGTAGCAGAGATAAATGTTTGCTTTCCACAGAGCCCTAATCTGAGCACAGTGTGTGTGTGTGACTCGCAGCTTCTATTCGTGCTCAGCAAATAGGTTCTTACCATCTTTGCAGTCATTTCAGCAGTTCTGCTACAATTCCTTTTTACCAGTTTTGTACAGTGATGCCATAGGCTTTGTATTTTGCTTTGAGACTTAACAAAGGAGTCCAAGAAGTCTGGACGTTCTTCAAGAACAAAATCTTAAAGGTGGACGAACAGGCCATCACAGTGTGCTGACAGCTAGAAGGGAGGATGATCTACCAGGCTGAAAAGATTTGAGTGGAATTCAGGGAGAAAAAAAAAAGTTTATGGCCTTTGGAAGAAGGGATGGGCAACTCAGGAGGACTACAGGAATGTCACGAGGTTATGCAGAAGAGCCAAAACTCAACTAGAACTTCATCTGGCTACTGCTGTAAAAGACAATAAAAAAAGTTTCTATAAATACATTAGCAACAAAAGGGGGATTAAGGAGAATCTCCATCCTTTACTGGATGCAGGAGGGAACACAGTGACAAAGGATGAGGAAGAGGCTGAGTTACTTAATGCCTTCTTTGCCTCAGTCTTTAAAAGTAGGACCAGTTGTTCTCCAGGTGCCCAGCCCCCTGATCTGGAAGACAGAGACAGGGAGCAGAATGAAGCCCCCATCACCCAAGGGAAAATGGTCAGTGACCTGCCACACCACTGAGACACACGCAGGCCTATGGGGCTGGATGGGATCCACCCAAGGGTACTGAGGGAGCTGGTGAAGTGCTCACCAAGCCACTTTCCATCCTTTATCAGCAGTCCTGGCTAACCAGGGAGGTCCCAGTTGGCTGGAGGTTAGCAAATGTGATGCCCATCTACAAGAAGGGCCGTAAGGAGGATCTGGGCAACTACCGGCCTGTCAGCCTGACCTCGGTGCTGGGGAAGATTATGGAGCAGATCATCTTGAGTGCCATCATGTGCCATGTACAGGACAACAAGGTGACCAGGCCCAGCCAGCATGGGTTTATGAAAGACAGGTCCTGCTTGACAAACCTGATCTCCCTCTATGGCAAGGTGACCTGCTTAGTGGATGAGGGAAGGGCTTTGGATATTATCTACCTAGACTTTAGTAAAGCCTTTGATGCTGTTTCCCACAGCATTCTCCTCAAGAAACTGGCTGATCAAGACTTGGATGAGCACACTCTTCACTGGGTAGCAAAGTGGCTAAATGGCTGGGTCCAAAGAGTGGTGGTGAATGGAGTTAAATCCAGCTGGTGGCTGATCACAAGTGGTGTTCCCCAGGGCTTGGTTCTGTTTAATATCTTTATCAATGATCTGGACTAGGGGATCAAGAGCAACCTCTGTAAGGTTGCAGATGACACCAAGTTGGGCAGGAGTGTTGATCTGCTTGAGGGTAAAAAGGCTCTACAGAGGAATCTGGACAGGCTTCACTGGTGGGCTGAGGCCAACTGTATGAGATCCAACAAGGTTGAGTGCTGGGTTCTGCACCTGAGTCACAACCACCCCATGTAACACTACAGGCCTGGGGAAGAGTGACTGGAAAGCTGTTCAGCAGGAAAGGACCTGGTGGTGTTTGTCGACAGCAGGCACAGGAGCCAGCAGTGTGCCCAGGTGGCCAAGAAGGCCAACAGCATCCTGGCTTGTATCAGGAACACTGTGGCCAGCAGG